GTTAGTGTCTCCTCCTATAAAGACCTCTCCAAACTTATGTGCCTTTGTGAGAGTGAGGATGTGATTCAGTAAGGTGTGGTGGCCAGTATGTGGACCGTATATATTAACTAATGTATATTTGGTGTTGCTTATTATACATCGTAGGATAAGGTAGCGTCCCTTTTTATCGCTTAATTTTTTTATTAGTTGGAAGGAAACATCATTACTAATTAGGATCGTGACTCCTCTTTTCTTTTTCTTATATGTGCAGTGGTAGCCTATTGGAATATGTCTAGAAGAAAATTTCGGTTGGTGATACGTTTGGAAGTGCGTTTCTTGGTAAAAGTGTTTTGTGGTTTTTTGCCTCCTGAGGGGCCATGCGACACTTATGAGGCGAGTTGAGTCCTTTGGTGTTTAATGAAAAGATATTAAGTGACATTGGAAGATATCACTGGTATATATGTATATAGCTGGTGGTGTAAACGAGCATTGTCATTTGGTATTGTGGTATAACGGTGTTTCCTATTAGCAAAGTGATGATTTATTGTTTTTTGGAGCATGAATGGATCGTACTGAACTTGTACTGGGCATATGGCTGCTGTTGTCCCAAGTATTGGCGATGTAGGTTCGGTCATGTTGTGGCAACTGCTTGTCCCCATGGAGTGGGGGAGTAGGGGGTCAGGTGGAGGGATACAACATAAAATGTATAAAAAAACTATATACAAAAGGAAGGTCTCCGTTTGAGACCTAGATGACTTAGTGTTCATTGGGCACTGAAGCCCTTGTGAGGGTGGAGAGTCCCCGGTGTCTAGGAAGGGACTATTTGACGGCGGTTATATTGTAGATGGTAGCTCTTCCTTATGTTGCATGTGTACCTTGATGTGACCTGGAATCTTTAGGTGAGGTCATTCATTTTAATGTATGTACCCCTCATCATTGCACCTCTTAATATTCCTGTGTGGGGATGTAAAAGTCCAGTCAGGTCCTCTGCAGTACATGTAACAGCATTTGCATACATTCATAGTACCTTGAACCACGCATTAAAAGTAATTTACAGGTTTTTTGGAGTGTCCCAGTGTCTCAACCCTGTAGGACAAGTCGGATCGGTCTTTTTTTAACTTAGGTGTAGGGAGAGACAGGGGACGTATACAAATTATAATTAAAAAACAAGGAAAAAAGAAAGAAAGCGCAAACCATACGGCATCTACGTGAATGTTACCAAAGGTTGTAGGGGTATCCAGTGTCTGTGTCTATATATTAACATACATTGAAAAGCCCTTGCCTTGATAATGTATCGAACACATATATGCGGCATATAAATAATTTCCCGCATGGGATTCGTGGGTTGGTTGAGCTGTTTATGTTATTGGTAGTCTGAAGCGTGGGTCTTAAGGCAGCTTCTAGTTCTAAGAAGAAATACATGGTCGGATTACTAAGGGGGCTAGGCAATATTGTACTGGAAGTCATATAGTATCCCAGTGCCTCCTCTTTTTTTTTCCTTTCCCTCTTTTTATTTTCTTTTTTCTTTTTTGTGTTTGTTTTTGATTTTGTTTATGCATGGAGCAGTATCATTATATAGGTACAGTGCGCCTACCATGTAGATGTTCTAACATCGGCTGGGGATATAACAACTTAAAAAAAAAAACAAGTAAAACTTTTCTATAACATATAAAGCGTAACCAAGGTATATACTACCACAGTGTTCGTTCACTGTTCCTCTGAACTTTGGTGCATACACGTTAGTGGAGAGCCTGCAAGGCCACGTCAGATTAGAGTCACTTTGCTGTAGCTGATGTCTTCCAGTCGTGGGTGAGCTTCATTGACGACTTGGCTGTTCCTTGTGTGTCTGGGTTTTCCAGAGTGGAAGTATCCAGCGGTATGTTCCACTCTTCTAGGGCTTTTCTCCCATCTTCCAAGGTAAGTAGGTGCCTTTCATTCCCGTTGCGTCTGATGATGATTCTTGCCGGGAACCCCCATTTGTAGGGTATGTCTGCCGCTCTCAGGGCTCTGGTAACTGGCATGAAGCTCTTCCTTGCTGCTACAGTGGTTGCTTATAAATCTGTATATAGTTGAATCTTGCTATATGCTTCGGGGAGGGTTGTTTGCTTTCTTGACGCTTGCATTATAGCCTCTTTAGTGGTGTAATAGTGGACTCTCGCTGTCCCGTGGTACAGATGTCGGAAGATGTCTGGGCCTGGGCAAACGGTGAGTCCTGTCCAGTAATAGTGCTGTTTCAGGTAGGTCTGGGACCAATAGCTAGAACAGCGTTTGTTCATATGCGCTCAGATTATTGGGACCAACCTCATCTGGGATGCCGCGTATGTGAACATTGTTTCGCCGATCCCTGTCCTCATGGTCAGCCAGCTTGGTGATAATGGAAGTCAGTTTCACGTCCATGTTCTCGTAGGCCTCGGCTACGTTGTTATGCGCGTTGATGATTTCCTCCGTCTTATTTTCGAGGTAATCTGTGCGATCTCCCAGTGCTTTAACGTCTGCTCTTATTTCTTTTGCCAGTTTGGCAAAGTCTGCCTGTAGGGATGACTGTAGGCAGTTCAGCATTTTTTTGTATAGAGGAGTCTGTGGCCGGGAGCTCCTTAGTGGAGACAGAGGTGATGTCACTCCTATCAGAGCTCGAGGCCGGTGAGATTGGTCTGTCTGCGCCATCTTGGGTACGGCGTGGTGGTGAAGACATGGCTGAAATTTGCAGGGAAGGCTCTTTCACTTTGTCTTCTTTGTGGATGGTTGAGCCATATCGTTAAGGTAGTGCCTAAATAGCTGTAGATGCGTTGTAGTAAGTTAATCCCTTAGTTAATGCTCAGTTAGTCGCTGTGTTAGGGGAATCTCTCTTGGAGCCGATCGCTCACAGGTCCATCTCCTCGAGCGATCAGGCCACGCCCCCTAAAGGTTATTTTTTAGTATTTACAATATATTCTTTCATTCAAAGTATTCTATCTTTGAATGTCATTGAAGTCACATACAGAATAACTTATATAACAATCAAGGTGTCAACAGCACCCTTAAGTGATTTTTAAGAGCACAGTGTCTAAATTTAGCTATGCCATGTTACACAAAGCTAAAACCTCACTTAAACCAAGGTAGAACCACTTAGCTATTATTATGGTAGTCTCTGACGTAGACCTTTGACCCTTCCCTTCAATGAACAGTTAGTCCTATTCAGGGGTTTATATAAATGTAATTGCGTATATCCTAAAGAGAAAGTTCTTTGTAGAGGTAATCTGATTAAAAAGGCAACAAACAACATTAATAACTTCAAATAACTAACCAAGAGTATCCTCAAAGGGAATGATATCTTATTGCATTCCACGGCAATGAAGAACAACAGTGTTATTTACTAAAGTGAGAATTCACACAGAATTGTAAATTCAAGGTTAGAATATTGGAACTGGAAACAGTTGTCAGTTGCGTCCGTTGTGTTTTTTAATTCAGCTATTCCAACTTCAAATATGAAATTCACTTTAAATTATCTCTTTGGTAAATACCTCTGCAAAACTAAAATGTTGTTGATGTAAATATAAATCCTCAGAGTTAATATTTACAAGGAATGCTTGCTATATTCTGATTACTGTCTGACACTCCACATCATCTGTGTCATGTCACCAGCTCTCTCTGCTCTGCTCTGCTCTCATGATGATCCCTATATTAGCTGAACTTCAGAAATCTATAATGGAATATGCATCTACAACTGAATTCTGTATCATCTCTACATTCCCAGGCTCTTCCCCAAACTCTGAACCTCCAGATGTTGCTTAACTGCAACTCCCATGATTCTATGAATTAAATAGATAGGCTGAGAATCATGGGAGTTGTAGTTCAGCAACATCTGGAGGGCCGGTGTTTGGGGAAGCCTAATCCATCTCTGTACCTCAGCTTTTATCTGGCATGCTGTTGGTTCACAATTCTATGTTATACCAAAGTGATGTGGCTCTGTGAGTAATGGGTATATATTTTTTTCAGTTACTACACACATATCATCATAATCAGTAGTACATACAAAAGACAAAGCAAAATAAGTTCTTATATGTAGAAAATATTACCCTTTCTTATTCATCAGGTCATGGATTTTTCTTTAGAAAGGCCACTTCCTGTTACACAATGGTGTACATTCACCATGCTCATTGAACAATGGCTTCATGCAGATACTAAAACAACATTTCAGTAAACCTAAGATAGAAAATATATTAAAACATAAAACATTAATTTGCAAGGTCCCATGGGTACAAAGGTGTGTCTGTCTCTCATTTAATAATTTAGCTATCTTTCAGAGCATATTGCTATAGTGTTAGTACATGTGAGAGTAGTTGCCCCAGACACTGCTGTACCAATGATACGAAAGTAAATTACCATCCAAAATAGCTTTACTCTATCCATTCTTTTCTTGATTACAAGACTTAAAGTTAGTTGTCAGAGTATTCATGAATTGTACATTCAACATTGTGATATTAAAAGGGTTATGAGTTGGAAAATGGGTAATATGCATGTTAAAGTGAATTGAACCTGCCATGACAGCTTCACTGTTACAGAATCCTCCCATTTCCAATTAATTTACCATTTACCAGAGAGATAATATATACATTTAGTAGCAAATGTTGAGATATTAACTTAACTGGTTAAGCACTGCCATATACTCAAGTTTGTGGGTGTTGCTTTATTGTAAGGCCCACCTTTGGTCCACCTGTACACTGCCCACTCTCTGCTTAGGTTTGCACTTCTTGGTAACACTTTCCCAAGCAGGGCAAAACTGCTTCATGATGTTGAGCTTGCTTTGTTGTCAACCTACTGGAGTGTGAACAGAATGACATTGGTCACACCATTCCTACACTTCCTAACCAGTTACAGAAGCATCGGCTAGGGAGTAACCTTATCAACCAGCAGGTATGGTTATAATTAGTGATGTCCCGAACGGTTCGCCGAACGGTTCGCCACAGATGGCGAACATATGCACTGTTCGGTCCGCCCCTATGTCATCATTGAGTAAACTTTGACCCTGTACCTCACAGTCAGCAGACACATTCCAGCCAATCAGCAGCAGACCCTCCCTCCCAGACCCTCCCACCTCCTGGACAGCATCCATTTTACATTCATTGTGAAGCTGCATTCTTAGTGAGCTGTCCAGGAGGTGGAAGGGTCTGGGAGGGAGGGTCTGCTGCTGATTGGCTGGAATGTTCGGCTAACCATTCGGGAACCGTTCGGCTAACCATTCGGGACATCACTAGTTATAATGCTTGGAGAGTAGGTAAACACCCAGTTGGAGGTCTCTCATGTTCTACCTGTCAGTCGACCATATCAGTCTATGGCAAAGAATTGATTCGAGGTTATTATCAAATACAATATTCTCCCTTGCTATACATAAAGTAGCAATTCGGGTTCAACAAAGCATAAATTAAATGTTATGCTCTTTAAAATGAACATAATAAACATTAATAAATAGCTTAACAAAAAGAGAAGCAAGTATTAAAAGGGGCGCTTCTACCAAAAATATATATTTTATTATTATGTATGAAAAAAAGTAGGATATTATTGTTTACCTGCTCTAATATATTCATCTCACACATGACTGGCAAAGCATATTCTGCTCATTCTAAATTTATGGAGTGGATAAAAGCATCTAAATCAGTTGAATTATATGGTTGCCCACCTTGTGGCCAGGGAGGGCCTAAAACCAGTGTAATGGACTACATATGATCAGCATTAAGCAGGCAATGGACAATTAGCATGGAGGGGTGGGACAGTGTTTTTTTTTTTCTCTCTCTCTCAAAGATTACTCAAAGAAAGATACATGTTAATGGAGGGTGCTACTGGAGGGGTCAATTAAGTTGGGTGATTATATCAGACATTGATGCTGCTCATTTGGTTGCAGCTGTAAAATGAAAGATACACAATTTAATTCAACAAAGAGGCATTACAAGAAATGCACACAAAGTGATTGGGGTGATGTACTTTTTTTTTATAGATTGTGTTTTTTTAGTCAATTCTTTTAAATATTTGATTGTGTATTCCCTAATCTGAGTATTACAATGAATTGAAAACCTAATTAAAAAATTTGGGCTAAAATAGACAAACTGTCATAATAATAGATAAGTTGGACCGATTGAAATCAACATAAGAAATAACCCCCCTAAAGTTACATACATATGATATTGTTATGAATGTTATTTGCACATGACACAACAATGTATAGAAAATTGCCACTTTCATTAGTTTGTGCTTAGTTTCTAAAGTTTATTAAAGTATTATAAATTAATATGTCCTTGACATTTTGTTCCTTTAGTAAAAGTTTTTACATTTTTCTGTAACAAAATTAGGTTTTACAGATCCTCCTTTTCGGAAAGCAGTTTATGGCGACACTAAGGCCCGTCAAGGTAGTTTCAGCCATTGAGCTGGATAAACAGAATGTGCATGGATACGATTGTTCAATGATGCTTTGCCCTTATTTAAAGTGATCTATATTAAGATTACAAATAGTTATTTTTATTGACATAACATATGTATGATCGCATAATAATTACATCATACATTGTTTGCCAAAATAACTATATTACTGTAGTATAAATGCTTTAGTAAATAAGAGCTTCTGTATTCTCATCGAATAAGATGGTACTACCTTTAATGAAATACAAAATCTATTCTGATTTATTTATTTCGCATGGGAATTACTTTTGACACATGGCTATGCATTGAGTAAAATACATGGTGGGGGTGAGGGGTGGATTCAGAACACTTTTTATAAAATGAGTTATAAATCTATTAAAGCATGTCATGTGCCTTAATCCGCAAAAGAACCGTGTTTAGTTCTCTAAGATGTTTGGAACGACCTACCTGATATGTTCCTTGGAAAACGATGTACAAGTGTACCTAGAAGAATTAATTCTATTTTAAAGGCAAAGGGTGGCCACAACAAAATTAATTTGACAGTGGTATTTTCTTCTGTTCAACCCATCTGCATGGTTAATTGAGAAAAAAAATATTCAGATTTTTAAAGCATTTTTAACACCTGCACATTTTTAGGGGTTTATTTGTAGAAGCTATTGCCTTTGTGTATGTTTCCTTTAAGGTTTCAGAAAGTCTGCATTTTATAGCATATACGGGTGGTCATAATAATCCATATAATGGACAATTAGTGCACATATTTTGGACATATTTTGCTTAGGTTGTCACTGTGTCAAAGTAACCCAATTTTGGCATGCCTGGGACTTCTGCTTCAAGGATCATTTTAAAATGTATTTGAAAAATGTATTGTTGCTTTTAAGTGCAAATATTCTTTGCAAATATTCTTTGCACTGCCGTGACTTGGCAGCTTGTGCATTAATGCATTATTGTCTCATCAGTAGAGACTTTTGTGAACATTGCATGGTTTAAAATATCCTTCTGCATTGAATCAATTAATGCTTGACTCACTGAGGAATATGCAAACTATGATTATTAATTGTGTTAAATTGTTTAAAATACTTTGAATATTCTATTTCTGCATTTATTTTTTATGTATAGGTTTAACATTTGACAAGTGCTGTAAAATATTGAAATGGAGAAGTTGGTGTTTAATTCATGGTGTGTAGTAAAAAAAAGAAAAAAAGCAAGATTTGATTAAGAGTATAATTGATTTGCATATGCAGTGTATGCACCCACGTATTGGTACTGTGAACAGTAAATGAATATGATTGTATATTAGCTCTTCCAAGCTCCATAGGTGTTAACTGGATAGCTCAGCAGATTACAGCATCACCACTGAGCTCTAATGTACTGTTCACCTGTGTATGTGCCTGAGAGTGTGTCTGACAGAGAGTATCCTTGTGTGTGTGTGTGTGTGTGTGTGTGTGTGTGAGAATGTATGTCTCTGTGAGCATGTTTGCGTTTTTGTCTGTGAGAATGTATGGGGAAGCGTTGTGTGTATGGGGGTCTGCCTGTAGCCTTTGTGCATTGTGTTTATGGCAAAGCTTTGTTTCTTGACTGTGTGTGTATGATGAATGTCTTCAGCTTGTGACTGTGACAAGGTGAGTAAATTGGTACCAGTGGCAGGGAGAGTGTGACAGGGCGAAGGGGGTAAATGGAGGGAGAGGGGGTGATGGGATGGAGGGAGAGGGGGGTGATGAGAGGGTGGGAGAGGGTTGATGAATGAAAGGGGGCTGATGAGAGGGAGATGGTGAGGGAGATGGTGAGAGGGGGTCATGGTGAGAGGGGGTCATGGTGAGAGGGGTCATGTGACAGAGAGGAGGTGAGAGGAGGGGGGTGATGCTGAGGGAGGGGTGATACTGAGGAGGGGGGGTTTATGATGAGGAGGGGGGATACATTGAGGAGGGGGGATGATATTGAGGAGGGGGGTGATGTTGAGGAGGGGGGTGATGCTGAGAGAGGGGGATGGTGAGGGAGGTGATGGTGGGGGCAGGATGCTGAGGAGGCTGCTGAGGGAGGGCTGATGCCAGGAGGGGGTTTGGGGTGATGCTGAGAGAGGGGGTGATGCTGACAGGAGTGATGTTGAGGGAGGGGGTTGGTGGTGAGGGAAGGTGGTTGATGCTGAGGGAAGGGGGTTGATGCTGAGGGAGAGGGATGATGTGAGGGAGGGGGGCTGATGTTGAGGGAGGGGGGGTGATGTTGAGTGGTGATGGTGAGGGGTGATGGTGAGGGGCTGATGGTGAGGGGATGATGGTGAGGGGGGTGATGGTGAGGGAGGGTGGGTGGATGGTGAGGAGGGAGGGGGCTGATGCTGAGGGAGGGGGGTTGATGCTGAGGAGGAGGTGATGCTGAGGGAGGGGGTTTGGGGTGATGCTGAGGGAGGGGGGGTCAGCGCTGACAGGGAGTGATGCTGAGGGGGGGTTGGTGGTGAGGGAGGGGTGGTTGATATTGAGGGAAGGGGTTGATGCTGAGGGAAGGGGTGATGGTGAGGAGGGGGGTGATGGTGAGGGGGGGTGATGGTGAGGGAGGGTGTTGATGGTGAGGAAGGGGGGTTGATGCTGAGGAAGGGGGATTGATGCTGAGGAAGGCGGATCGATGCTGAGGAAGGGGAATTAATGCTGAGGGAGGGGGGTTGATGCTGAGGGAGGGGGTGTGATGCTGAGGGAGGGGGTTGATGCTGAGGGAGGGGGGACTGCATACCTTAATTTATTCCCTGGTGATCCAGTGGGCTCCCTGGTGGTCCAGTGTGGGCTGCCTGGTGGCCCAGTGGCCATTACTTCCTTCTGCAGGTCCACAGAGCTGAAGACCATGTAATCACGCGAGATCTGTCAGAGAGTTGCCATGGAAACCCGCGGCAATGCTCTGATTGGCCAGTTCTCGCGAGACACATGGATTGCAGCTCTGCTCACTGCGGAGCTGCTGACCAGTGTCTGCGGTGGCTGGCTGGGCAGCCAGGAGGGGCCTCAGTCACTGACCGAGGACCCGACACAGTCTGCCCTCAGGCGGCTTAGGCGGCCACGAGGCCCCAGCCAGCGCGAGGCCTTAGGCGGCCGCTTAAACCACCTAATTAGAGAGCCGCCTCTGCTTACAGTGAAACTTTGGTCTGAACTTAAGAAGGTACAAAACTGATCCATTCTGACTATATTGAGATCAGACCCTGGTCTTGCCCATCCGGATGACTTCTGTGTTAGGTTCAGGTAGTTATTTTCTCTCCACAAAGAATAACTTTTGAATTATGAGTTTTTATATTTTTTTCTGTTTAATAAGTTATCATTTCACATTTATGACTATTATTTAATTCCCTTGTGCTCCTTATGTGGCTTAACACAATATTTTGGATCAAGTGCCTGAAAACCATCGTGATTTTTGTATACATGTTCTGATTCCTACATTTCGGATTTTTGTTCCAACTTACTAGAAACCAGACCTCTAGCCTATTATACAGGCTACAGATGTGTGCTCCCTGGCCTGATCCACAACCCAGACTTAACAACCTTTTAAATTTTTTATCTCTTATTGATTAGATGCTTCAGACTGTCCAGTTTCCTAAACACAGTTCCAAACCTCAAGCACTTCATACGCTTTTCAAAAAGGAGAAAAAAAAAGGAGAGAACTCTTGCCAAAGTGAAAGAAAAAGAAAAATTTCACTTTCAGAAAAGTTTCCAAATTACAGGGCCTAACCCTTAAAGTGTGTAATAGAGAAGAGAAACAGAAACCCATACAACGAGGAACCTGATGGAGATTCCCTATGTAGGATAAAACGTTCATTTGAAAATGTTG